CAAGTTCAAGTCCAGGTGGGCAACTTAGCAAGACCTTGTATCAAAATAGAAAATAAAAAGAGCAAAGAATGCACCTCATTGGCAGAATACTTGCCTCACATATACGTAAGGTCCTGGATTCAATCCCTAAAAGTGGGGTCAGGGGACTATACATCTATTTTTTTCCACACATATAGACCATCTAGATAGTCCAGTCCAAAAAAAATAAGATACACTGGTCTGGGCAAATCAATGCTTAGGTAATATGTTTGAAAGTGTTAAAGATGAGAATAGGAACAGCTCTGGAATTGTATTAACATGGAAAATAAACAGTTTAAGTGTTTTTATTCTTTTCCAATGCTGGTCAGAGATTTCTTCCAGACACATCTCTGGCATTTTTACACTTAGCACACTCACATTTTATAGGATGCTTGCCTGTGTGTGATCCAATTTGATCCTTAACAAGCCTCAAAGGTAAGGTGAGGCACCTCATTTTGAGAAGAAGGAACTAAAACTCGGGGAGGAAACTGGCTTGTCCACATGGTCAGCAGAGGCAGTAACATTAATTTAATTCCTTGTCCTGTGTTTCTTTCCACTGCAAAACAACCATTATCTTCAAAGGATTAAAATCATTAAGTTGGCATAACTGAGGCAAGTCTCCAGCTTCCCCACTCCCTCTCACAAACAGAGATCAATATAATGAACTTCAAGTGCCCACTAATACAAGTGTTAGGAGTCCTGTCCTTAACTCCACATGATCCTGTGAATATCTATATCTAAGTGAAAAATACAAAGTAATCATCCAGACAATTCACCAGGGAAGCACATTTTATCCAGAAAGAATGTCTGTACCCGGTAATTAAACACTCAGAACATAGATGGTGCAATATTTTTTCAAAGTCTTCCCTTTTAAATTTTTGACTTTGTAAGCAGTAAAATTTTATTTTGTCTATTGAACCAAAATGTCAGGGTCATTTGTGCCTTGTCCTTGGCTTGGTTTACAGACATGACTGGAATTAGCAAAATATTCTAATTTAGACACAGAACCACCAAATGTTAGAGGTAAAGGAACCTTGGAGATGACCTAATCCAAATCTCCAAGGAGACCATACCAACATGACACAATCACTTGGAACCTCCACTTCCTTTGCCACGTACAAACATCAGTCTATTTGCGGAAGCTGAGAGAAACAGTTCTACTCCTGCCAGCTCCAGAAGTCAGTTGTTGGAGGTGACGGAGATTAAAAACTTCAGTCAGTCCTGTCCTAACCTGTGCACAGTTAAGATAAATGAAGCAACACCTAAATGCCACGAGGGTTTGCTGTACTAATGTAAATATTCATGTTTAGAAGTTCATCCTTTAGCTTAGAGAAAATTTTCACA